GCTAACCATTTTTCAAACTTCTGGCAGCATGCAGGCTGGCACTTTGCTCCAAGCTTCGTATGCTGCGTAAATGAAATATAGCAGGAACACTGCCTGCGCAAGTCAACTTGCCGGCAAATGCACCGATATTTGCGATTGATGACATACGTGATCTGCCTGCGACTGAGCGCATGTGACACTGGTTCATGTAAGGCCAACACAGGCTGGTACAGCGCCCAGCCTGAATAATAATCAGGCCTGGGCTTGCCCGCGCTTCTTGACAATCTGAGCATTCTTGGTACTATTCGTACTAGACCGAATTTGTGGAGCAGTCATGGCCATGGCTCCTAAATGCGACCTCATTTAGCTCAGCTATAATGCTCTGATGCCAGCTGTGTTATCATCTAGGCCATGTCGAGTGCCTACGCTTGCGGGCCTGGCTCTAGCTTAGCTGGGCCCATCTGCCGCATGGGGCCGGCCATGCGACTGTCCACTTGCGGCCGAAGCACCAAGCTTGAAGAGCTGCCGTAAGGGGAAGGCCACAACACCGGGCAGCAACATGGCCTCGGATCACCGCACTCAATGAAGCACCTCCTGAAATGCAAGGCTGGGGCGCTGTAGGCGAGAATGCTCGATGCCAGGTGTGTGCTTTGCAGTCAATTTCGTTCACAGCTTCGTGGATTCCCTCATTCGAGTCTATCCGCTATCTCTTGCGAACTTCCTGAAGCCGGGTCAAGCGCCATGCCTAACCTGGCCAAGCATTACTTTGCTTCCTGTGCTGGCTGGATGGACTCGGAGACAGGTTGAGCCAAAACTGACTGGGTGATGGTTCAAGGCAATGGAGTAAACACATGGCTCAACTAGCTACGCTTCACTCGCTCATTTGCGCCCCTTTCTTCCAGGTTCCTCCAAAAGCCCTCTAGATTGGCGTGCCTATGGCAGGCAATGCAGGGCAAATGCATGTGCTCCGCTGAAGCTGTTCTCCAGCAAAGCTGCATGCTGGCCAGGGCATGACAACCAACGGCTTGCCTTTGATTATTGGACTGTGACATGCCGAACAACCTGGACCATTCATTGCCAAGTCACAGCATGTGAGGGGAGGCGCCCACTGACTGAGCTGGGGCGCCATGGACGAATCCCACCATTGCCGACACATTGAGTTCCAGTTGCAAAAAAAAGAAAGAAAAGAAGGACAACAATTCAGGCAGCGTGTGTTTCGTCGCAGCTTGCTCGCTCGAAAAATCGAACCTACTTTTTTTGTTCGAGCGCGTTTTTCAGCCCTCACGGGCCGTTTGGGACGCTGGGCTGGAGCGCCTTTGCCAAGTCCCCGTTCTCCATCGCCAGCATCAGCGTGTTTCCCACGGACCTCTGCAGCGCCTCCAGGTCGGGAGGCGTGCGGCTCCTCGGGCTTTCGGTGTTTTGGTGATTTTTTGTGGGGCAGCCCACCAAAACAAAAGGGAAAAAGGGTGCCACTGAACAACTGATTGGTTCATTGGTTTCCGTTATCCTCCACAACCAGGGCTTCAAGTCCCACACCCCGGCTCCAAACCACCGATGGGCTCATCCTCCACCAGGGCTTCAAATCCCGAACCCGGCTCCAAACCAGCCACCTGACCGGGTTGCCTGCCCCACACTCCTCTCGTCGCGACCTGCGAACCCAAGCGACCCTTACGGTCCTCAGGCTGCCGATCTCTCGCAAAGCAGTCTCCAGCTTGCCTAGGCCCAGGCTCACCAGAAACGGCAAGAGAAGTGAAAGCCCAATAGCAAACACCCACATCTTAGCAACGCAAGTGACACATGCACGCAAAAAGACATGCCAGTTGAGTGTATCCGTCTTGCTCCAAGTGGCCATTGCCTGCTGTTTCAATCAGCATTGCGGCAACCTTCTTTCGCGTATCTTGTCTATTATCCGAGGGCTGGATCTCTTTGAGGGCCTTCTGAAGATCCCCATTCTCTGCTGCATTGATCAGCAGATTAGCGGCCTGGTAGCGGCGTTTTGACGGGATGGACGGCCAGGAGTTGCTGCAAAGTGCACAAGGTGTAATACTTTGAGATGGGCAGTCGAGCAACAAGTCGCAGTATTTGAAGCTTGCATGCGAAGCCAGGCCTTGTGTCTGAGCTTCTCTTCATTCTTCTTTCCAGACTTATTTTCCTGGAGCTCTTTCAAGATCTTCTCGAAGTCTCCGTTGTCCACAGCTGTGACCAGCATGTTGCCAGCCTTTTTCCTTGCCCCCTCCGCTTTTTTCAAATCCTCTGCAGAATGCGCCGCTGCACCACCACTCTCCTTCAACACACCCTCCAGCTTGCCATTCTCTGCAGCTTCCACCTTGGCATGGACAGTTTCCGGGCCAATCCGCATCAACCAAGTCCCTGTGAGCGCAAACATGACGCGAGCGCACCTCACCGTATTGTTCATTGATGCACGCCTTCTTCTCCATTGTTTCAGACTCGTGTGGGTGTTTTTCTTGGGGCACACCCATATCCCTTCGCATCGCTTCTATACTTGCTGCTAGCCCACCAGTAGTTGGCACATCTCGGAGCGCACGCTTTGCATGTCATTGCGCGGGTCACCAGTCCTGCGATGCGGGTGGCTTAGGAAAGCCACAAAGTATCCACAACACCGCAAGGATCCCAGAATCCTTGGTTGGCCCTGTATGGAACAAGCACCATCTTGTTCATGAGGGCCCCCTCTCAACCACCCAGGCTTCAAAGATCTCACAGGTATCGGTCTGCATACAACAATGTTTAGCATTGGAAAAAACAACCTCCTCAGAAGGTCAAGCCTCAGACTAGATGGGTTCTTCCGGAGAAGGTGGTCCGCGCGAGCGAGGACGCATCCGGACACTACACAAAGTGTTTATTGGAATCAATTTGGCCTCCCACAAAAACATGGAAGTGCAACATACCCCCTTTCCAAGAAGAAAGTAGTCTTTCTATAGGGTCTGTGCACTTCCATGCTAGCCGGGAGGGTACATTTGGTGCGCAAATAGTTCTGCCAAAGGCGACCGCGTCAGAGTTTAGAAGTGCTTAGTATTGGATCCCGAAAACGTGCCTTAGTAGTCGGTTGTAAATGTTAATATTATGTTAATATGAAGTGCCAGTGAGAAACTCATGAGGCTATGTTGGACTTTCACGCCCTGGTCCCGTCGACACTGACGAAAGACTCTTCACCTCAGTGTCAAGGCACTGAGCTGTTAGAGGTTGCCGCAGTTGCTGCAGGCAAACATCCAATGCACACAACAGTGTAGCAGGTATCCCAACACCAACGGATGCAACAATGGCTGGAATGCCGAGTGCTTCCCAGGCACCTCCCTCTGCAGCAGCCTGGCAGCATCACATATGCCATCAGTCGAATGTTCCCCCCTGGCTTGTCACCCTCTTTTCATGGAATCTTCGGGGGGGCTATTGGGGGGGGGTATCCCTGGACAAGCTCAGGCTAACCCAAGGATAAGCCCTTAATAAGCCCTATTAAGGGCTTCACAAGGGATTCCCTCCCCATAGCTTTTTTTGGGGGTCCATGATCTTCTCCAGGGGCTCTGGTGTTCATCAACTCAGGAAACTTCGGCTGGCTCGAGATGTCGGATTTGCCAATTTGCCAATGATCTAAGGCTACCTTCCATTTCCATTCTTTCCAGGGATGCTTCCTTCTAGAAAACTTCCGGAACCCCGCGCAAACGGCTGGTTTTTGTAAGAACGATGGTTGAAAAGAATGGGGAACCAGTCCCTAGAAATGAGATCTTCAGTCAAAACGTCTTGCCTTGGGCTAATGCAGGCCTGCGGTCTTTCCACCGGCTGCGAGCTGGCTCGCGCAGAGACCACGGGTGCCAGCGACTTCTCCTTCTTGCTGCCCTGAGCATGCTTAGATGCTGCCTTGGAAAAGCCCTTGGTGGCTTTCAGGGCTCCCCAAAGTACAACTATTGATTTGCACAAACATCCGTTGAAGGTAGCAATCTTTTTCAATTTGGACGCTGTCCTCATGCCGTTCCCACCACGCCACTGACCACCCCACGCGCAATTTGCGCACTGCTTGCCAGCCAGGCCACTTGCAAATACTTGCAAATGAAATCCAGCGGCTCTGCTGGCTGCTCCTAGTAAACCAGTCATGGGAATGGCTGTCGAAGCAAACAAAAAGGCAACTTGCAACTTGCCAGCCACAAAGCCGCTCCTTGAGCAAGGCCTTAGAACCACAAGCAACACTTCACACATTCTAGACTAGCTGGGGTTCAGCACGCTTACGGGCAAAAGCAGCACGCTTCAATCGCTTCAATTGATGCTTGACGGACGAAAAGAGCCAAGCCCAGTACCTTCACTGCCTCGGACAACTTCTCCTGTGCATGGCACAGTCAGCGCTGTACATGCTGCATCTGCACGCGCCTCGATGCGGTGAGAGCCCAAGTACTCCTGCCCAGCAGCAGAAAAAATCCAGTGGCCACGGTGCCATTTGGCTGTGGTTGTCAAAACCGTTTTGGGATCCCATTTTGGGTGGTAGGTGAATTGACCACCCATTGTAGAACAGATTTTAGTGGGGATTGGGATGTTCACTGGGGGTACGGGCTCTTGACCCATGGCCGTTTTTTGGGTTGGACCAGCGCATCGCGAATTGTCTCAAGGTCTAACTTCAAGAATGGTATGTTGCGAGCAAGGAGGACTTTCTTTTATACTTTGAACGCACGTTCGGCTGATTTGCCGCAGCCGGCGAAGCCTAACCCTTACACATAGCATTGCTTTGGCCAGGGAGTAGTAAAGAAGTAAGTAAAATAAAATCAGAGCAAGGAGAAGACCCAGGCAGCCGGCCTTGGCCTTGCCTTTCATCTTGGTCGCTCGGTCTACCTTGGACTTCTGCACCTCTTCGCTTCTGGTTGAGACACTCACCTGCAGATCGCACAGCAGTTCTCGACTCTATTTGTCGAAGTGAGTCCCCAGGTGTCCGAACGAATTCAAGCCGAGCCAGCACTCAGCCGTGAGATCTCAAGAATGAAAATGAAACACCTCGAACCCTGAACATATAGCAAGCCAATGAATCCGCAAAGCTCCCAAGCTGCTTCATCCCGCTTCATTCATGAAGAGCAAATAGCACACACAGCTACAACTAGCCAGGTCCCTGCTTGAAACACTTGTGGCACGAGACTTTGCTTGCCTTGCAGCCTCCCTGCACAACAAGTGCTACTTTGATTTGCGCCCACCTTGAACTTCATAGCTGGAAAGTCCGGGTGGGTGCTCGTCGCAAAAACGTCATGCACGGAAGTGGAGTCTGGCTCTGCCGCCAGCAGGCAGCTCCCCACGTGCTGGTAGACGTCAACACGAACATCCTGAGTCTCCGCACTGGTTGCCCCCCTGCGCTGCAAATGGACGTGTATCACAATTCGGCGCTGTGCAAATAGACATGTATATATATATATCATAATATATCATTTTGAGTGTGCAACGCTGACCCAAATCACTCCATCAGTAAGCTAGCTATGCCAGCCGAAGCAACTCGTCGGCGATCAATGGCAGGAAAGTTGTATGCCTCAAGCTGGCAGGGCAATGAAAACAGAGCGCACCCCCAACAACATGATCACGTCACAGTTGCTGACTAACAAGCTAATCGCGTCCAAGTCACCCGCTTCGGCTCGTATCTGCCCTGCTTCAGAACTTCACCCACCCGTACACTGACCTTGTCTGCAGGCGTCTGGCGAGTCAAAGTCATAAGCCCGCATGTGTTACATGCACACACACACAGCCTATGGCACCTCCTCGAAACATCGAGCACCAATGGAAGGGTCAGAATGGGGATTCGTAGAGGCCCTGCTCCAGATTCGGAACTGCAAGACAACGTTATGTATGGGCCGACCTGGCTATGCAAGGAAGCAGTCGCAGTGTGACCAAATTGTTGGGAAGCAACAGCGACCAAAACGACCAAGGGGGGAGCTTTGGCCTGAACGTTATATGTTGATTAATTTGCCAACGCGAGCAGAGCCTTTCTGTCCTACCATCATCCTAGCTGCCAACAGGAACGCACAGCACCTTGCACACTTGAAACGCTCCTGGAAGAAGCCTTCTTCGTTGGTTTGCACGGGCTGGCATACGCCCACTTTGACACTGCAATGCCGCGCTAGCAACCATGTATATTTCAGCCGGGGATCATAGCAACTTTTCGGCAGCATGTCTGCATTGGGAGACTCCACGTGTATCTCCATCCTGAGTCCTTGGCGGCAAAGCTGACTTGTCGCTTCTAGATCACGCAGCACGTGCAAAAGTGCCTAAGCCAAGCCTACGCCAAGCCTCGTTGGGACAGGCCCTCGACGCGGCCCCAATTGCTACTGGAACCACATGGCTTCAGCACACTAAGTCGTTGGCTCTCCGTTTCAATATGTGCTCCGTCAGTCACTCCATGTAAATCCAGCAACAAAACTGCTGCATTTGCCATTCGCAAGCTGAAGGCATTACTTGTTGAGATAACCGATTGCTCTGGCAGTTGCACCAGCATATCAGCTGATGCGGACCTCGTTCCGTGGGAGGGGAAGCACGAAGAGGAATCCTTGCACTGGTGTACTGGCCCAGGACGCCCAGGGGCTTGTGCCCATCCAGGCGAGCCGAGGCGGAATGAAGATTGCCCGTCACGGCGGGTCAGCTGCCCTCAGCTTCGATTTGTGAAATATGCAAGACAGTAGCTTAGCAGGATTCATTGAACCCAATGCGTTTCAATCCTATCCATGGATTCATTGGAATCCATGGATAGGAGTGTTCCAATGCTTCTCAGCAGCAGGTTGGAGAACAATGCCCACGCTCGGAGCCGCCGCCTCGAGAATGGCACCGAGATTCCGTTTTCACCACGAACGAAACATCTGGGGAATCGATTTTTGGCAACGTCATAAGCCTGCTCAATCTTTCCCCCCCGAACTTGGCAACGAGATTGGCTGGTCGGGTGAGCGTTTCTGACCCTAGTGCTGCCCGACCCAAGGCTCCATGTCGCTGACTGCGTTGCATCGGTCTTCTTTAGGTCCAAGCGGCACTTCCGCCATCGCTTTCCACGGCTTGCTCCCCAACTTCACCCTGGGCCGTGGTTCTCGGCCCCAATTCTTGACCCTTCATAGCAAATCTAGCGTGTTCGAAATCCTGGGAGCCTAATCGCAATCCGTAATCCGCTTAATCCTTGTGTTGTTTGGTAATCTTCTTGATCCGTAATCCGTGCTTCAAAGTTTGGTTCAGAACCGTATGTTGGAGCATGAAAATCCGTGCACCCGGTAATCCGCAAAGCGCAAGCCGCGTAATCTAATCCGTAAGCCGCACAATCCGCAATCCGCTAATCATTGGGGATTAGGTTTTGAACAAGCTAGCAAATTCAGCAGCCAAGGCTCACTCCCTTGGCCTCAAGCTGCCAGGTGTTCAGCATCTCCAATCGATTCCTTGCGGGCCCCAGTGGGTTATGATGTGCACAGCAGCATGAGCCAGCTTGGTTCCAGAAAGAAGTAGTTTTCATGATACATTGAGGGTCAATTCGCTTTATTCGGGGGTTGTGTTGGGGAATCTTCTGGGCCCATTCTTGCAGTTTGAAGCCGCCGTCAAAGCTGCTCCGTGTGGTTCCGTTTGGCTTGCACTGCACATGGACCTGCCGCGCGCGCTTGAGAACCGAGTGAATGAGTGAGGCGAAGACAAGGCTACCTGATTGCAGCTTGTGGCGTTTCTCTCGCCTGATCCAGCTTTGTCAAGCAACCTTGGGCACTTAAGGTTGCTTCGGTCCCTGGCACCTCAACCGGCTGCTGAGTGCTCAGGGGCTACCGCTGCTCAACCAGACTCTGCGAAGAATAGCAGCTTCGCATTGTCAAGCCCGCAGTCGTTAAGCTACACCATTACAGTTGCAAATTCTTTGCAGAAGCCGCCTGCCAGCCAGTCTTCAAGAGCCAGGCCCCGACTATGGCAATTCAAGACGCCAACTGCTTGCAGCTGAGAGGGTCGAGCAACTTGTTTTGAGGATTCGGGCGTCCACCAATAGCATGGTAGCCACTTGCATTTGGTTGTATTTTCAATCATTGCGTGCGCCAGCGGAGCAACTGCTTCAAGAAGTTTGCCGCAAACCCCGGCTGAACTCCTTCCTAAATATTATCTGAGATTGGCAAAGCCATAAAAAGCCTGCTCAAAACTGCTTGCGCAGGAAACTAAGCACATCATCCTTGGGGCACCTCAACCCCCTCCCTAAGATCCACCAGATGGTGCGAGAAACCACCGTAGCCAAAGAAGGGGGATGGAGGTTTGGAAAACTAAGTCGCCAAAATGCTTGGCAAGCTCAGCGGGAGTGCGCTTCAGTCGGCTTGCTGCCGGGGGCGGTTGCTTCAAAGCTTGAAAGCTTGGGACCCTGCTTCAAACATGTTGGTCTGAAACTCCCCCCCGACAACCCCCCCTCCCTCAAAAAGAGGGAAGCCGGTCAAGCACATGAAGCTCAACATGTTCTTCAGCAAAGTGTAGCCAAAATGCTTCAAAACAAGTGTCTTGTCCAACGCAGCAAGAATTATGCAAGACACTAGGGTTGTGGACTCTGAACAGCTAAGGTTCTAAAAAACTATCTGATCTTACAGCCAAGGTTCTAAAACGCCATTTGATCTTGCAAGCGGACGTCAGAGATAAATGTGGTGAAGCTGAAAGCCGATTTGATGTGGGTCTAGCCAACTCTACCCCCCTGTTTACAAGATTTGATGAGATTGAAAAACTCCACGTGGATTTAGCCGACACGCGTCTTTCAGTTTGACAATCAATCGTCAGGAATCCTAGGGACGTTATTTGGGCCACTCCAACTTGCGCCAAGGCTGTTGGACACAAATTTCGGGCGCAGTGTTAGCAGCCTTCCCACCAGATTTCTGCCGCGGGGAAATGCTTCATGCCCGATGTCCATGCAAAGCGTCGCAGGTGTGAGGAAGCGAGTCACTGAGCATGAGCGAGAGCCAGCACAAAACAGCTCAAACAGCAAATGGCTTGCTGTGTGGGCTCTATTGTCCGGGGCCTACTGGTAAGCTCGCAGGATCCTGCAACATAATCACGTTCATCATGGAAAAGAAAAGACCTAGAGCCGAAGTCTGTATTGAAGTCAGCTCTTCCAAACGGGCTCGAGGCAAGCGCGGCCACGTCATACAGCAGGTACACAGCTTGACCCAGCTGCGCAAAGGAATTGCTTCAAATGTTCATCATCACATGATTGGCCCAAACACGTTGAGGTCACCTAGCCAAGCAAAGAAGAACGTTGTGCAAACTCCGGGCTCTCTGGCAGAGCTTGAGGTTCGCCGTTCAGTCAAAGTATCCCTCTCACTTGCCACCTCAGAATGACAAAGCAGTCGTTGATCCAGCGCAGCCCCGCGCTCGGTGAGATGGGTGGTGTTGCCTTGCGCATCGGCACTGCTTGGCAGTGCGCGGTAGCCTTGGCGCTTTCCCACAAGAGGCAAAGCCGCCCCAGCCCTCCTCAACCAGCTCTACCTCTGAGTCCGCCGCCTGAAGCCACCGTTGGGCAGTGAGACTAGTCATGAGTCAGTACATGCCAAACTTTGAGCCTCTGGGCGCAGCTCGAGCTGCTCTTTGATGCGGGCGTCACGCTCACAGCGAAGCCGGGCCCGCTTTGCCTGCTCTGCCTGGATTGCCATCGCTTTTGCGAACTCGGCTGCTTGCGCAGCTCGTAGCATGAAGCATACATTTCACAAGTCACGTGAGTGGTGCCTTCCCTGTGAGACTGAGTCAGAGTGAGACAGAGTGAGAAGGAGCGAGCGGGAGTGAGCGTGAGTGAGTCAGACTGTGTGACAGAAAATGAGCAAGTAAGAGTGAGACGATTGAGATTGAGCGAGAGAGAGTGGGCAAGAATGAGTGAGCCAAGTGGGAAAGAGCGAGTGAGAACGGGGGAGCGGGAATGAGTGTGAGATTGGTTGAGAATGAGCGACTGCGAGTGAGTCAGTGCGTGCTGGTAAGTGAGAAGTTAAGGCGAGTGAGCAAGGGCGACTCAAGAAGAATGAGTGAATGAGTGCAGGGGAGCTAGAACGCGCAAGTGAGTGATTATGAAGTGAAAACGTCAGCGCGGACACAGCGCAGAAAAGGCGTCCGCATCCCCACTATCATCTGCAAGTGCTGCTGTTGCTGAAAGACAGGCAACCATGCGAACATTGGTTCCAGCGCAAGCGTGTTTACAACAATGACCGTCGCAAACACACTGCCTGGAGAGTTTCTTCCAAGCGCCTGTCAGCTGCAATCTCCTTGAGATGGCGCGTGGACCTCTAAACTGTACAGACGTGTCGCGCGCAAGTGGTCACACGTGTACCTGCTACAAAAGTGCCTTTGAGACCACATCAGAGCCCTGCCTGTGCTGCCATCCGGTGGCCACTTTGTTGTTGAAAGTTCTGTCAAAAGGGTCAGTTGTACCTTACCTTCACCTATCACCCACGCATCATGAAGAGGGAAGCATTTCCGCGAGGCAGAAGTCTGGCGGGAAGGCTACTAACATTCCGCCCGAAACTTGTTTCCAACAGCCTTGGCGCAAGTTCAAGTGGCCCAAATAACGTCCCTAGGATTCCTGACGATTGATTGTCAAACTGAAAGACGCGTGTCGGCTGAATTCACGTGGAAGTTCTCAACCTCATTAGATCTTGCAAATAAGGGGGTAGATTCGGCTAGATCCACATGATCAAGGGGAAGAATCGGCTTTCAACTTCACCACATTCATCTCTGACGTCCGTTTGCAAGATCAGATAGTTTTTTAGAACCTTAGCTGTTCAGAGTCCACAACCCTAGTGTCTTGCATAATTCTTGCTGCGTTGGACAAGACACTTGTTTTGAAGCATTTTGGCTACACTTTGCTGAAGAACATGTTGAGCTTCATGTGCTTGACCGGCTTCCCTCTTTTTGAGGGAGGGGGGGTTGTCGGGGGGGAGTTTCAGACCAACATGTTTGAAGCAGGGTCCCAAGCTTTCAAGCTTTGAAGCAACCGCCCCCGGCAGCAAGCCGACTGAAGCGCACTCCCGCTGAGCTTGCCAAGCATTTTGGCGACTTAGTTTTCCAAACCTCCATCCCCCTTCTTTGGCTACGGTGGTTTCTCGCACCATCTGGTGGATCTTAGGGAGGGGGTTGAGGTGCCCCAAGGATGATGTGCTTAGTTTCCTGCGCAAGCACCAAGCTAAGGTTCCTACATGAGAGTTTTGAGCAGGCTTTTTATGGCTTTGCCAATCTCAGATAATATTTAGGAAGGAGTTCAGCCGGGGTTTGCGGCAAACTTCTTGAAGCAGTTGCTCCGCTGGCGCTCGCCTGGCAGAAAAAGTTTTTGGCCGTTCATCTCAGCGTGTTGCATGAAGAAGTTGGCGCACGCAATGCTTGAAAATACAACCAAATGCAAGTGGCTACTATGCTATTGGTGGACGCCCGAATCCTCAAAACAAGTTGCTCGACCCTCTCAGCTGCAAGCAGTTGGCGTCTTGAATTGCCATAGTCGGGGCCTGGCTCTTGAAGACTGGCTGGCGGGCGGCTTCTGCAAAGAATTTGCAACTGTAATGGTGTAGCTTAACGACTGCGGGCTTGACAATGCGAAGCTGCTATTCTTCGCAGAGTCTGGTTGAGCAGCGGTAGCCCCTGAGCACTCAGCAGCCGGTTGAGGTGCCAGGGACCGAAGCAACCTTAAGTGCCCAAGGTTGCTTGACAAAGCTGGATCAGGCGAGAGAAACGCCACAAGCTGCAATCAGGTAGCCTTGTCTTCGCCTCACTCATTCACTCGGTTCTCAAGCGCGCGCGGCAGGTCCATGTGCAGTGCAAGCCAAACGGAACCACACGGAGCAGCTTTGACGGCGGCTTCAAGCTGCAAGAATGGGCCCAGAAGATTCCCTAACACAACCCCCCGAATAAAGCGAATTGACTGACCCTCAATGTAGAATGAAAACAACTGAAAGGCAGAACCCCCTGCAGAATCAAGCGTGATAAAGCAAGCACAGTTACAGTAGCGTTGGAGCCAAGCAACTTTATCCAGCTAGAAGCTCCGTGAATGTTGACCTGATCACAGCACTTCGAACATGATGGTGACTATATGTCTTGCATTTCCAAGCAAGATTCAGTCAACTAGGGAATTGCTTGAAGGCAAGTGTTTTGCCCTTTGAGCACCGTTGATGGTGGGCTTGGATTGTATCAAGGGGAGGTGCGGAGTGCTGCTTCTTTACCCACTGGCCAGCGAGGAACGATTTCTCCGCGGTGCCTGTAGATATGCTTTTAAATTGGTTTTGGCTAGGTTCAAGGGTGGATAGCTTGATACTGTTTGCCGGTTGGATGGGGTTGGCAGTGTGCTTGGGTTTGTGGGTTGGTGGGTGATTTGGCGGCTTGCAGAGGCATTGGGTGCGATCGAGTGGGGGTGAATTTGGGTGGGTTTGGGTTCGGTTTGTGTGGGTGGGTTCGGTTGGGTTCGGTTGGGTTCGGTTGGGTTCGGTTGGGTTCGGTTGGGTTCGGTTGGGTTCGGTTGGGATCGGTTGGGTTCGGTTGGGTTCGGTTTGGTTCGGTTGCTTGGCTGCATTGGCTTGGCTGCATTGGCTTTGGGCTGCTTGAGGCTTGCTGAGGGAGTTCATCGTATCGTGGGATGCCTTCAAGACCAGCCAGGGTGGGCTTTATGCAGGATTGGAGACACGTAGGTTTGGCATAGTGGCGTTCTGCTTCCTTTCCTTGATTCGTTGCTTGATTGCTTGCTTGCTTTCTCCTCGCTATGTGGTTGGCTTTTGCTGGCTCAGTCCGGCTGAGCTGGTCTGCTGATTGTCTGGCAAATCCCGCTGACACAGCCGGCAAACATGCCTCCCCCTGAAGCTGAATGCTGCATCATGCCGCATCTGATTGGGGGCATGTTCATTCAAGCCACTCCGAAAAGTGCCACCAGGCGTGGCATACAAATCGTCTCAATGATGAGCCACTCCTGGGCGCGCGCTGTGGGCGTTCGCACTTGAAGGCCACGTCACGCAGCTGTGATGTCACAAGAAGTCTGCAAATGTCTTATCTGGGCGCGGCCCGAAAAAGCGACGAGCTAAACGCTCGTAACTCGTCTCCTGGGACAGGGCCGCCTCTGCATCCATAACGACCTTGCAAAACAATGTTGGGATGGGTGAAGTGACAGCGAGATCATGCTGCTTGATTGCATGTTCCAACAATGTGCCTTGCTCGATTTGAGATCCCAGGCTTAAGCCTTTGCGCCAGATAACTTGGCGCCATGCCAAGTCAACTGGTGCGTGATGTTGGCACAGGATGTCAAGCCTGAGCTGGCTATGCATGCTCTCTGCCGCTGTGCGGAGTCGTGAAAGGGCAAAGGGGCAGGCGCGTTCCACTGGTAGCCGCTGAGGGAAGCCAAGTTGTAAGGAAGGCCTTGGGATCTGGCCGTGTCCCTCAGCTTAGCAAAAGGACCTGGCCGTGTCCAATGAGGATCTCAGGACGCTGGTCCTTCGGATGGCCACGCAGAAGAGATCTCAAGGCAGGAGCACCCTCTCCTCATGGACGGCTCGGCTTTTGGCCTCCAAAAATCGAACGTGCAGGGAAAAGATGTGAGAGCCCATGCCAAAAAAACAAAAATAAATCCTGCAAGACCAATCCTTGTCGTTGTGGCCTGGCCTGGATCACTGAAAGTTGGTAGCTGTGCAGCTGTTCCTGTTCAAGACAGCCAGTGTGATGGAAGCACTCATGAACCCTACAGCCATTTAAGAATAGCACACGCCCAAAGGCTTGTGGTCCTTTTTTCTTTTTTGCGTCAGGTCCTTCAGTGTGACGAGGTTGGACGAGGGCTCTGTGTCAGGCACCGTGAGGTTCCTAGCAAACAATAAACGCAGTAACATACTCTACACTCCGTTCTTTTGGGATAACTGGTGGCCCTTTCCCCATTTCAGTCCGTCGTTGGGGATGTGCCCTAAAATCCTGCCCAGTTGCGCAACCGTCGTGGGCCAAGCATCGCCCCTGGAGGCTTCGCTGGGCGAAAAGTCGACATGACTCACACGCCCCACATCGAGACCATGCCATTGAGCCAAGCAGCACAGGGCCAGCTGGAGCAAGGGCCTAGAATGTGCGTGCCAAGGCCCTAAGGCCTGAAAAAACACTTGTTTTGAAACATTCAGTTGACTCTCGCCTCATCCACCAAGTACTTGTGCTTTTCAAAGCTGAATACGCTGGGTGGCCTCTGAAAGGGGTGGGAAGCGAAATGCAACACCGGCCTGCCTCCCTTCAGGCTTGCTTTGAAACTGCCCAGCCTTCTCCGGCTTTTAGGCACATCCAGCCTGAAATTGCTCGTGACCCCTTTCGGCAACTTCACGATCCTAATGACATCTGCGGGCCATGCGCAAAGAAGAGTGGAACGGAGATTTGGTAAACATTCGGAACCTGAACCATTCGGGAAACCCACTTCTGACAAGTTCTCTCTTGTGAGGAGCAAGAGGTCAACACACCTGTGCAGGCTTTATGTTTTCGTCTTTCTCCGTGACATTGACCTAGAAGCATGTCTAGTTTCATTTTCTCCAAACGAGGGATAAAGGATGCTACTGTGTCTCAACTCTTCCGCAAATAACATGGAACCCCGTTCTACATTGGTGTGCGTGGTGGTTGTTCATGCAGGGGAGATTTGAGGAAAGACTCTAGCAGAATATCATGATCACTAACACTGACCTTTTCTGTTGGCCTAGACTGATATTTGCTTACCCCAATAATTCCTATGCTGATGACATGTTCTATCAATTTCTACATTAGCCGCTGGTTCACCAGTTCAGAATCTAATGCAAACGTGAACCTACCCACGACTCACAATGTGCTCGCAAACATTGTGGTCAAATCTCCTTTCCAGTCAGGTTCCATTTTCAGAGCATTTGTAAAGATTTGCTTTGTCAAGCAAAGCACGTCCCGATGCCTACATCCCCCACTAACCCAAATGGTACGGGTGCCAGGTGATGCAAACTTGCTGTCCTCGGCCTGCGTGCCATTCTGAAAGAGTGTGCTCCAAAAAGAAGCAGCAGGAAAGCTTACTTGTCCATGGGTCAAAAGCCCGTACCCCCCAGTGAACATCCCAATCCCCACTAAAATAGGTTCTAAAAAATGGGTGGCGCACCTACCCCAAAATGGTACCACTGGTTTTGACCCACAGCCACTTGGAGACCGCAAAGCCGCTGAATCAAGCTGCCCCTGCGCCACTGCTGCGAGGCTAAAGCCTCAGCCACGCTTCACGACTCACCCGGGGCCCAATTCGTCTTCCAGCTGGGTGGCCACCGCCGAGGAAGGCATCCAACACCACGTCGACGCTTTGCAGCGAAGCAATGCAGCGCAAGGTGGAGAGGAAGGAGTTCCTGCGGCAGGCAGACGCGGCCCGGTGGAACACCTGGACTCATGTAAGTTGCATGAGGCGTCCCAGCGTCCTGGCGAGGCTTTCTTCTGCATGTGAAAGGCTTTCCTGCCAAGGTCTTTCCCTCTCTCATGCCCCGCCCCACCATCCCCCACCTCACCTCCACGCAGCGCCCGATCGCAGGAGAAGGCGCCCGGCTCGCCAGGGGCAAGCCGAGCTCCTCGAGGGCGCCCATCGCTTCCACCATCGCGGAGCAACACGTCGTTTCCTGACGCCACGAGGACGAGCACCGAGTCATTGAGCGAGCCAAAGCCCAAGGCTCACTTTTGCGGCCAAACCACATCGAATCGATTGCCGAATTCCGACGGGAAGCAGTCTCTCTCGCGACCTTGCCAAAACAAGCGTTTTGGAGCCATGGGCTCCAAGCGCCACTTGCCGTACATTTGCAACTTGAGCAGCAGGCCCACACAGCAGCGCTGATATGTGTAACCTCCGGCCCAACATCCTTGGCTTGCTCCTGAAGCTCGGCCGTGTGTTCGTCTGGCGCATGTCGATGGTTGGCCTACATATCCCTTTGTGCCACGTGGGTGGGACAGGGCCGAATGAACAAAAGTCGTTGGCGATCGGATCAGAGCTGCATCTCATAAACGTGGCTCCTGTGGTCCAGTTTCTGACGCGAGTCGTCCTTTCTCCGAATTGATTGCAGGCAATCAAAAATTCTGATAGGCAGTCTGAAAACACCAATCTGGATCGGGCTTTGTTTTTCAGGCCAAAGGCCAACACACACACACACTAGCAACCTGAGCTGATGAGCTTGTTGATGCAAGTTGCATTCAAGCGTACAAAGGAAATGGAGGGCTGGCTAGCTCAACCCTCCAACAGAACGTGGCTTAGCTGCGTTGACTAAGTGTTCGCGCTTGGGCAAGCTACAGCACCTTCGTCGGCATCTGACGTATCTTCCAACAATAGGTGGCGCGTTCTAGCAACTTGGCAGCAACACTCACCAATCCACAACTCTTGCCACCAGCTGTGAGTCCTTTTCGGTCATGGCTTCATGGTCCCCAAATGTGTAAACCAATCAGCATCCGGCTCAGTCCTGGAAGCACCACGCCAATTGCTACTGGTGTCCGCGGGATGCACAGAAACAGCAGCATGAAGTGACCTCTGTTTGACTGGGGCACATCTTTGGCCCAGTGCAGAATAGACAAATGGCCAGCTTGTTTGAACCAAACATTAGCTGAAGTTATGATGGCCAAAAGTTGTTTTGCCCGCGGTAAGGAAGTTCGGAACTTATGAGGCTGCTCCGTACAAGCGGCCATGCTTGCAGCCAAGGCGGATTCCAGCCATCAGCATTCATGCCACCAGCTTGCTGCCCAATCGCAGAAATAAACGACTCTTTGCCACGCGCACAGAATGCCGACCTGCTGAGAAAAACACGAAATATCGAAGTGGAAGAGCAAGCACTTTTAATCAACATGCCGGTTGTAAGGATGCTGGACGCATGATGATTGCATGCTGCTTCTCGCGATGACAGGTGGCAGGTTCGTGTGTTACACATAATGACCTGCTGATATTATCATGCATTTGGCCTTTCAGCCTTGAGGATCCGCGTAAGGCCACGACCACATGCCGGCAGCAAGGTGCCAAGAACTGCAAAACACACGGAAATAGACGAGTTATAGCCTGTTCACTGTCCCATGATCCCCCCTGCCGTAGTGCAAGGGTCATTGTACTTCTTCAAGGCCCTGTGACCTGCAACGCAAACAATCGAGTCACCCGGCACACTGCCTCCTTCGCCGGGCATTTTGACCCGGCACGCTCAATTGCGGGACCAGACGTGCCGCAACCGTGACCCGGCGTGCCGGGTCCTTCGCTGGACCTTGTCACCCAGCACACACAACTGCGCGACCCGGCGCGCCGGCTACGCCGGGCCTTGTGAAATGGCGCGCTGGGCCTTGTGAACCGGCGCGCCGGGCCCTACGGGCCTTGTGAAATGGCGCGCTGGGCCTTGTGAACTGGCGGGCCTTGTGAACCGGCGCGCCGGGCCCTACGCCGGGCCTGGTGAAATGGCGCGCTGGGCCTAGTGAACTAGCGGGCCTTGTGAACCGGCGCGCCGGGCCCTACGCCGGGCCTTGTGAAATGGCGTGCTGGGCCTTGTGAACCGGCGCGCCGTGACCCGGCAAGCTCTCAGATGCGTGGCACGGCGCCCCGGGCCGGCCGCTGCGTGAGCCCAACTTGAACATCCCACCCAGCAGCGTGCACAGCAAGGTTTCAGGCGCGGCTGACACACACTAAATCAGCACGCTGGCTCCGGCCAGCGCTTGACGTTCTTTGAAGCGATGCAAAAACAGGGAGAACAATTGCGGAAGCGCTGCGTCCGACCCCCGTTTCAGCCAAGTGACCTGAAGCCTTCTTTTTCACCCGCCAAGAGCAGGTTCCAGGACACTTGCAAAAACCCAAGGTAGACGAAGCACTGAGCTGACTGAGATGTGGCCCACGCGCCTGCGGCACATCTCTCTTTCGTAGGATCTCCGGCAGCAGCTTGTTGAGAGCGCAGTAACGCCTCATGTCAAAAGTAGTTTGGCTTGCTTTCTGCGAATTGGTGCACAAGGCGGAGGGCCAGCTCCTTGCCCCCTGTGTGCTCCAACCTTGGGGCAGCACGCCTGCCTTCTTGTTTCTCACCAATTCTCTTTTCTTACCCAATCATCTCCTTCTCTTTCTAGTCTTTGCTCTTCTGCCACGCTAGGAAAGAATGCAAACCAGATGCGTCATGATGCGCAGAGCTGCAACTTGCCAAAAAAGGCAGTTTCGCGAAACTGCTTCTTTTCATTTAGTCTGCTTCGTGACGATGGCGGTAAGCAGACTAAACCATCCGAGGGCTGGATATTTGCTGAAACCCTTTGATCCGAGCGTTTAGTCTGCTTACCGCCAGTGGCGGTAAGCAGACTAAATGAAAATAGGCAGTTTCGGGGAAGCGCGCCTTTCTGAAAGCTGCAGTTCCGCAATTGGACGAAAAGGCAAATTCGGGAGTCTGCTTTTAAGGCCCCCAGGCCGCTTGATTACACACATTTGCCCCTTCGCCCAGCATCTAAACCACGGTGCCAGCTATGCCAACCCTTTTGATCGCCCCCTTCTTGCTTTAGGCACCTTAGACCACGACCGAAACTGCACTGATTTCACCCGCAAAAAAATAAAAAGCGGTTCCAGCAGTTGCAAGCTGTTTCCATGCGTGGCCGTACAACGCTTGGTAGCAAACAACTTTGGTTGTTGCAGCCACCTACTAACAATGAAGAGAACCAAACAGCTTCAAAACATAAAGCACTTGCCAATATTGGTGGAGTTGATTCCACCTAGTTGTTTGCTGAGTTCTTCGCTCCCGTGCTGAGCCCCAAGGCCTTGCCCTGCCAGGAAAACTGCACTTAAGACTGGCCTCCTCGGGTGTTGTCCCTTCAGTTGCTGTAACGTGTTAGTGATTCTTGGATTGTAATAGTTGCAGGATTGTTTTCACTACAGGACGTAGAATCACTAACACGTAGAGTCACTGGCACCTCCTCAAGAATGTCATATTTGCAATCCAAAAAGTCCAGGAAGCTACTTGCAGGGCGAACACCCCAGCACTTCCCTGCGCCCAAAGGCATACTCGAGAGAGCACATTTTCCAAGCTGCGAGGCTGTACAAACTCGGAGCAGCTAGCAAGACGTTGGCGCGTTTATCCATCGAACTCAGAGGCTTCGCTGCGGCAACGCGGCGTTCTGCACGGCGTCTGCCGAAACCTTCTGTGACAGGTGGTCCAAAAGAAGTCGAACCACTTGCTCGTGCTCGCTGCTTCTTCGGCTCCTTTGGCTCCTGACTGATAGGTGAAGGGCCTCGCGATTCCTTTCAATGGCCGTGGGCTGGCAGGCCCGCACGTGGCTGCAGGCAACGCTGAGCGGAGTAAAGGCCGCAGCCCAAACAGAGACCTGACATGTAAGCCTTGCATCAGCACCAGCCCCCAGCAGAAGCCGGCACATCGGCTGATCCCCTCTGCTCGCGGCAATGTGGAGGGCTGTCCAGCCATGAGGGTCCCTGCTGTCCACATCGGCCACGGTCAAGGCTTCCTGGGCTGCCACGAGATCCCGTCGTCGAGCAGCCAGGTGCAGCAAGCTGTTCTGCTTGGCTTCCCGGCGAATCGCGCGGTGCGAGGCAAATGGCAGACCCTGGAATGCCGCTCGGAACGGTTCGGGCGCAGCTGACATACGTGGCTTTGTTGGTGAAATGACGCAGGCCAAAGAGTGCATGATCTTTGCAGATGCTGGACCCTCGGAGATCCAGTGCTGAAGCACGATCCGGAGAGCTAAGATTAAAAGCCCAGCACTTTGCGGAGCAGGCGCTCTCAAGGTCGCAGGTGCTTGAATAAGTGCTACTTGCTCAGGCGTGTGAGCACCACCAGGCCAGCAAGGATTCCGGAAACGTATTGGCATGGCGGCAAGGTATGTCAAGGTCTGGGTGCCGCTGTTCGCGGTGCTGCTGTGTGTCATGTGGGTGTGGGTCAAAATTAAACCACTAGGGGACCGCAGGTTTTAGTCCATGTTTCCATTTTCTATTGTTCCATTTTGGGTACCTATTTTTGGCCCACAGCCATGCTGCCTTTCGGCTTTCCCCTGCACACACTTCCACAGATTGGCACCACTCGCATGCTTGATGTCAGGAAGCTTGCGCCGCTTGCCTGCGCACAGGAACCAGAGCAACCTTGTTGAATGCTAGATTCATGTATATTCATGTCTTGTCGAAGGTGAGGTCTGGCCGCTGGCAGCTTTTCCCCGCGATCCCCTTGCCATTTCTGCGCCGTCGACTTTTCGCGGTCGGCAAGTTTCCGTCGCTTTGGACAACTCTGCGCCGGGATTCAAACTCACGGGCCGTGCTGCCCCTGAACTCAGTCCTCCATCCCAATCAAACAAAGGTCTGGCACCGAATCGTCGTGAGCGACGTCCAGTTCCATCCGTGGAGATGAGCCTTGTGACGTCAAAATCAGGTCAAAAGCAGACAGGACGCACGGAACACCTGGTAAGAGACCAAAAGCAGGCATGCTGCCAGCATGTCAAGCGATGGCCCTGTGTTCAGTAAACTCATGCAGTCGTACTCCTTTAAACTACTTTTGCTGGGCTTGGGATATCCGTGTTTCATAGCAACACCTCACCCACCACGGTCTAGGGGTCCGCGCAGAAGCTCTGACTCCGCGACATTGCGCAACGCGACGGGATTGTGCCAAGGGCTGGTAGCGAAAAGCTCCGCTGCATCAGGGAGCGCGGCAGCTTCGCATTCTCCTGGTGCTGATTTTGGCGGGTTGTCACTTGGCCATGGGTCAAAATCCCGCACCCCCAGTGAACATCCCAATCCCCATTAAAATAGACCAAAATGGGTGGTGCACCTACCCCAAAATAGTACCATTGGTGTTGACCCACAGCCAATTCCACACATAAAAACATGCCACCTTGACTGGATGGACTCAGGACTCCCTCTGGCCCCTTCCGTGGAGACTGAACGATTCTCCTCGGATCGGCTTGGCATTCTCCCTGGCACAACCCCAACTTCATGTTTTGCCTCAGCCATCGAGGCTTGCGGCGATTGGCTATCCATGAGCCTACAAACTCAGCAAACATGCTGCATGCAATCAGCGCCTCTAACCTCAATTCAGTCGCCGTAAACTGTCCTGCAATTGGGTTTGCTGCTTGCCTCATGCTTTACCCACTCATACCCGCTCTATTGTTGCCCCCACTTTGGCTGGCCTGTCTCTTCACAATAAATGTTGTACCGTTCCTTCCGCTGCTAACATCCTCGCTGTCCTGTTTCTCGGGCCCTGTCCGTGGAGACGTTCACTAAACTCTGAACGAGCGGAGGTTCAAGCCAGTGACAAATTTCAGACCCGCGCCATGCCTTTGACAGTCATCGATGTCCAAGTCGATGACCCACATGGCTTTGCCAATGTCTCCGTTGAAACGTTCCTCCCAGTGTCTCCTTTCCAAAACCGTTTTGGAGCAAACTTCCAGCTGCAGCAGTGACCTGGCTGGGAGTGAGCCCAGACCCGAAACAAAAAGATGGTCAAGGCGCGGGTTCTTCCCGGGCGAAGGAAGGCGCGGCAAAGCGCCAGGGCTCTGCTGCAAAGGCCTTCAAGGTCTCGAAATCTTCAGCACCTCGGGGGAGCAACAAACATGTGTCTTCTATCCCCTATCTGCAAAAGGGATCTACCTTTTGGAAGGAATCGGACCCGTCCCAAAATGGATTTTTGCTTTCCTTGCGGTTTCCCTTCCAACAAAAAACAAAACAACTCAAAACAAACGGGGCCCAAGATCCGTCCCGTCGCTCCACTAGGCAGCTGAGGAGCTATGAGCGCCGATGCCTCCGAGCTGATTCAAAGGCCCGCAGTTGCGGTAGACCTCATCGTAGCGCGCGACCTTGCCTCAGCGCTTTTCAGTTTTGGGTTCCAGGCGAGTTCTTGGATGGGTCGAGATTTGAGATTTGAGACTTGGGTTTGTTTATTTTGGGACTTGCTTTTGTCTTTCGTCTTGGCTAGAAATGGCCCTCCTTTTGGAAACCCAGGACTTTTTTGTCTTGCACGGGAGGGCTTTGTGGGATTATTTTGTGAAGTTTCCCGAGGCTGGAATCCCAGGGTGTAGTAGGAAAGTCCTGAGAGCTTGGCAACTCTGCAGATCTCAGGTTCACTAAAAACAGAAACCCAGGCACATCGCACCAACATCGCACACGCATCGGTGCGCACTTATACGCTCTTGTGGCTGAGCTACAGTACCTCACAGCGGCCTTCTCAGCACTTTGCAAATGTTCGCGCTCATCATCCACCAGGATGACCTCAGGCGGCCCGGAAAAAAAAAAGCCTCCTGACCCCCAAACACCCACAAACGTAAAACGTGCCCAGCTGCGGTAAAGCAGCTAAAGCAAAACCCGTCACGGCAAAGCTGTGGGTCAAAAATAGGTACCCAAAACGTGTTGCCCTGATAAATGGACACATGAACTGAAACCTGCGGTCCATATCCTGGTGGCTTAATTTGGACCCATACCCACAACACCTGCACTTGGCACTTCCCGCAGCAGGCAGGAGACGTTGGCAAGCTGAAGTGACCGAAGCCGCTGGAAGCGTTCCTGGGCGCGAGATCTCCTCTGCCCTTTTCAAATGTGTCGAGCAGTTTGGTAAGCAACAAACTGTGAAATCAAAGAAGTCGGAACAACGCAAAAACGAGGTGAATCTTGACTTTGAGTTGGTTTGAATCAAGCACCCGCACCGCATTGCGCATCCCCAGTGTCTTTCGCCCGCAGACAGTGACAACGGCTGGCCCCAGCACAGAACTTGACCCGTGCGGGACGAGTTGTGATGTCAACCGGGATTCGTACATCAATAGCCATCCGAATAGTATTCGTGAGGGTCACAGACACCCAAACGGAAGCGACTGCGCGAGACATCTGAGATTGAGCCTTCAAGGGCTTTGAGCCGTCACCAATCCTGCAGCTGGGCTTCCTCTCGCTGAATCTGGGGGAACCATTTTTCTGCATGTCCCACCTGCGGATGCGACTCCAGAATCCAGCAACTGGGAACACCAAGATCAAGTCAACAAATAGCATCCCAAGATGCACTGCTGCCATGGTGCAATGTGATGCAGCACATCCTTATCAACATGAAACCGCGGGAGAAGTCAAAGAAGCTGGCCCCAACGGAGTGCTCAAAACGTTGACATTAACGTTTGCATGACGAGCTACAACTTTTTGGTCTGCCACCTCGAGAGGAGGCTCGAACCGTTCCCAGGATCCACTGCGAAAGAGTGCGCAGGCCCGATGCCTCCGTTGAGAAAAGAAAAAGAAACAAGCGAAAGGACACTGCCAAACTTCCATCCATGTTTCCCAAAAGCGCTGCAGCCAGCGCACGAGCTAAAAGGCATGGTCCAAATGGCATGGAAGAAGTCAGCCACATCTGCAAGGCGAAGAAGGTTCAGCACCTTGCGGCTTGCTTGAGGCATTTGGCGATCTCTATGCATTTGTCAGGTGTGAGGGTGTTTGTATTACACCCTGGGACTACACCCTTGGGAAATGACCTAGAATGGTTCAACATAACACGGTTTTATCTGAACATGTGCCTAAATGGGGTCAATATCCAGTGGGTGTATTCTCAGGGTGCAATACAAAAGCCCTTAGATCAGCCATTGTGGTGCGACCGGAGCTATGCTATGAGGCCCACCGCAATGGCTCCGCACTCGTTGCGGGATAAAATGGCCAGGATATACTTCTGCGAGAGCTCCCGCAGCATCTCCTTGAGCAGAGCGACCCGGCTCCCCCGCAGGAAGGGGGACTCGAAGTTGTACGCCAGCAAATCATCTGCACGCCTCATGCCGGACGGGTCAATTCGCTCGCTCCTCTCGCGTCACAAGGCATGCTCCGCTGCTCATAAAACTGGGCTGCCCTCAGATTCCCCGCTAAAAGTTTAACGTTTAGTGGGTCAAATAGAAATCCCCACTAAACACTCAAAAGGCTAAAAAGCCAAGGGTATGGCTGCGAACCAAGAAAACTAAACGCACTCATGGCCAGCTTGGTTCAAGCGTCCATTCCGAGTCCTGCGAGCCAGCGTCCCAGGCCATGTTGTCCACGAAGTCCGGGCTGGACGGCATAAAGGTCGCCAGCGTGAGGGTTTCGTCCAAGTCAAAGATGATGAGCTCAACGGGGCATCTCGAGCCTTGAGCTTTCGGCAGGTCTGATGGGTGTGGCTGTGGTTGCCCAACACCAATGGTACCCCTGGTAAACATCAAAATTGGTACATGGGTGTTCATCCGCCCCAAAATGGAGCCATAGGTTATGACCCATGGCCATATGGCTCAAAATGAAAGAGCCCAAGTTACCACAGGTTTTAGTTCTTTCAAACTGTCCATTTACCAAGGTGCCATTTTGGGTATGCATTTTGAGCCACAGCCAGATTCCAATCCAAGCTTGCGTACAACTTCGCAACTGGCTGCAGACCAGCTGCTAGCTTCTTCCATGGGCATTTGTGTGCACTGCAAGCGAAATGTCTCCTGGAAGGGCCCTCCCAATTCGCACTTCGAAAGTCAAAAAATCCGACACCAGTCGAGCATTTGGGGGGGTTGTAAGGGCCTTCTTGAGCTTGGAATGTGTGTGTGTTCCTCCAAAATCCTTGTCAAAGCCGAAGCCATTCGGAGCCTGCATTATGCTGCCTTTTGGAAGAAGAAAACACGAACCTTTGTGCAGTCTCTTTGCCATTCTCTCAAAAAATTGCCTTCGGCTTGACAGTTCAAGGGAGGCTTACCTCAGCAGAGTCTGATGTCAATGTTGCATCTCCAGCATCATCGCGATCAAACATGACGTGGTTTTGCGAAAGACTACACTTGCTTGCTTGCTTGCTTGCTTGCTTGCTTGCTTGCTTGCTTGCTTGCTTGCTTGCTTGCTTGCTTGCTTGCTGGCTTGCTTGCTTGCTTGCTAACTTGCTTGTTGGTTTTTTGTTTGATTGTTTGTTTGTCTGTTTGTTTGATTTATTGATTGCTTGTGTGTGTGTGTTTGTTTGTTTTTGGTTGCTGTTGACCCCTCCTGCAAAAAGTTCAACGTCTTGTCGGTTGATGGAAAAACCCTTGATGCCCCAACAAGTTTAAAGTCCAAAGATCCAAAGCACTAGCCGTCCAGTGCTCGTTTTGCGGAGTCCTTGTGCGCAGAGGGCTCCTCCACAAAAAGCTTCAGCGCCTGGAAGTCCTCGAAGCTGTGGGCCCCGATGCCTCCCATGTTTTGCACCTGAGCTCGTCATGCCGATCGGCCGGGTATCGGCCGATCGGCGCATCGAACCGCATCGAACTGGGTCGAGTCGTCCATGGGGGAGCTGGGCTTGGTGGTTCTGGAGCTGTAGGTTGGAGGGGGTCGATCCATGCGGCCAGCAACAACGAATGCACGCCTAGCCGTCCAAGAAGCATAGCCCAGGTTTCGGTAGTAGGCATCGTAACGTGCCACCTTGCAAAAGCGCAGCACCTGCATGCCGCTTGGGCTCCTCGGCATTGCATGAGCCGCCAGGGGCGCGTGCTCTGAACCACCAACTTGGAGAAAACTTGGTCCATCTTGGTCCAGGCGTCTGGAAATTCGCACGCTGATCATCCACAAGGACGATCCCTTCCATCTTGAGGCTCTCCAGATCCTGAAGCAGTCCATGTCAATTTGAGTGGCGCGTGCTGCAGCTTCCAGCCTTCCAATCACCACTAGCCACTTGTGGCAGGAAGTCCTGACACGACACCGCGTCACAAATCGCAGTCTGAGCTCAAAATGCTTCACGCCGAGCTTCTGCAGGCCGCTCTGCCACTGCAGCCAATCTCAGCAAAGGATCTCTCTCCCTCTCTCTCTGCCGTTGCGTCCAGAGGGGACGCAGCAAAGGATATGTTGTATCTTCTTTCATTTCTATCCAGATTTGCACCTATGATTTTCCAACGATCGGCAAGTCCGAACACAAGCATAGCCCCCGAAGGCAGAGATCGGCTAGATCTGAGGCTTCGACAGGTCAGCTTTGTGACACATATCCCTGGGTCAGCATGTTGCAAGCAAAACTGGCGACGTGTCAATGTTTACCCTCCCACCAACTGACAAGGAAACGGACAAAATGGTCCAAACCAAAACCCCTTGTCCGGCAGGTTCCATTGGGAGGCGTTGGCTGCCAGCAAGGCTCGGAGCAATTATCATCTCCAGCCACTGCTCATCGAGCCTGTAAAGCCCGCCCAAGGGCTGCAAGGCCCAAATGGCGTCGAAGCACCTGAGATCAAACGCGTGCACCTTGCTCCCGCGTCTGGGCCTAGGGCCTAGAGACTTTTTCCAAGAAAGCAGCTAAGATGCATCTGACCAACAAGTGGTGCTCGGCCCCTCCAAGCGACGCGCAGCTTTGAAAACTGAATACCTACCATATTCTACCATTATGCAGCGCTGGCGCGGTGCCAAACCAGCGACATGAAGAAGCTGGAGCACAGCTTTTGCACCGGCATGGTTCTTCCTGAGGAAACTGTGCGACGCAAGGTGGCACGGCAGCGTCGACACATGTTCAGTATTTTGAGCTATTGTACGTCTGCACAACTCAAAGTCCTCCCATCGTCTTGCCGTATACTTCCTTTAGTCTGCCTGTTCTTGGCGCACTTTTGCTGCAAGCAGGGAGCGTTAGCACCGTGCGCGCGCGCCGGATACCAGTGGCCGACACAGCCAGGTCATTGAGCATGCCTCATACGAGCATGCAGTGCACTCAACGCGAACTTGCAACATGCAGCCAGGAAGCTCTTGAGGTGACTTACCCTGTCCCTGCAAGATGGCCATGATTGACAAATATGCTGCGTGGCAAATAGGCATATTTGCGTCTGCACAATGAAAGCCATTCCACCGGTTGAAATCAGTTTACATTTGCCGAGGCTCCCTTTCACCCACGGTGACTGGAAGTTTGTCTTCACGATCTGTGCCCTTGATCGCGAGGCTAGTAGGTTGGATTCGGGCATGTTGAAACACACAACTGCCATACTAGTTGGAAAGTGTGTTCTGAATTGCCTCTCAGTGTCTGCATCTCCTCCGTGTCGCCATCTTCGAGCAAATACGTGATTAACGTTAGAGTTTCGTCAAAGTCAAAGACAACCAGCTTGACCTTGGCCGCGCTGTGTGGAACGTGGGAAGGCTGTGCAACGTTTTTCGGACATCGGGGCGCTCATCTGCCAAAGGCCAGTTGAATGTCGTTGGGATGTGGAGGTCTTCAGCAAGCTTCCATTTGCTTAAGCCTCCAAAAAGCAACACCATATTTCCAGTAGCGAGCATCATTGAAACACCTTCATTCATCAACCACCTTCAGCCCAACGGCGGGGTAGGATTCATCGAAGGCCTTTGTGCGCTGTGAGCACTGGCATCGAAAGGCTGCCCTGCTGGTGCGCCGGGGGGAGCTGGGCCAGGACTCCAGTCCCATGGCCCATCACATCGGCTATGCCATGGCCACCAGCGAGTTCACCAGTGGTTGTTTGCTTTTTTTGCGCGCGAGCCGGCGTGCTTTCTTTTTGGGGGTGTTTGTGGGTCCACCAGTCTTTGGTCATGGTGGGGATCTAACATTGGCTCACTGAAAGCTAAAGCTGCGGTTGAGAAGAACTAGCGGGCCCGCTAGCTTCTGGTTGCGGAACAAGGAGCGAACGGCCCAGGGCAGTGGTCCCCCGCTGAAAGAGGGCCCATATCAAAGCTAGCTACGCACACTCGCGTACCTGAACTGCGTGCTGCCTGCTGGTTGCTCCATGTTTGTGGGACATATGACATCACCGGAAGTTGCCCTGGAAAAATGTCTCAGCAATGCAAGTTTCTGCGAGAAGCGGCCCCGATTCCCGGCTGGCCTGTCCCCAGCTTTACTGGGGAGTGAGACGGGCTGAGAAGCAAACTGCTGGTGCCCTATGTTGGAACTTGCCTGAGGAAACAAACGGATCACAAATTCCACACAGTTGGAAGGGGTCAGGGCAAGCTCCATCGTTGTACGCAGGCAATCTTGGCACTGCTTCATGCCATTGCCAACATCAACGATTTCTAGTATCTACTGCAACGCTTGCGCACACGGGCGCGCGCACACACACACAAACAACAATCAATCAAACTGCTCATAGCCATGCATAAATACATGTGTAGGGAAAATGTGTTCCATGCAACATAAATTTCATGGGCAACACTAGCATCAGGCAGCACGATCGAGTAAAAAAACAAATCAGAGGTCGCAACCACAAATCAATCAACTCCATGAAAGCTCTTTTGCGAAGCGCTCAGTTTCTGGTAGTGTTTTCCAGCCTGAAGCCGCTGACCCAGCACTAATCTGGTCCGATAACCGAGAAAATGCGGTTGGCACGAGATCACAGCCACTCAGACAACTTGCGCAAAGCTTCAGCTTCCCCCTAAATTGGTGGTTGGGATTGGTGGTTTGGTGGGAAGGGTTTCCTATTTACCCTCTACGAGAACCAGGCTTCAAATCCCCAAACCACAAATCCAAACCACCAAGTCACCTGAAATCTTGCAAAGCCCGAGCCCAAAAGCACAGCAGAACCTTTCCCGCGAGGCATTGACCGTGGCGGGTGGAAGACGCATGCCACTCTGGGGCAGGCCTGGGAAGCAGCTGACGCATTCCGCGGTCTCCTTTCGTGCGGCTGAGTGCGGCACACCCCGTGCCCTCTGCAAGGCTCATGTTCCTCGCAGCTTGAGACGCGCAAGGCGCAAGGCATAAGCTGCCTCGAAGCAGGGCAAAGACTGATAGCTTGTTCCAAGGCGCCCTGGAAGTCCCGACCAGGACAATCCGATGGGATGTCCAGGCACCTTGGATGCATGGGACCAAATCACCAGGTGTGTAAGGAGAGCTTCGTGCAAGCTTCTTTGGCCGCAACGCTTGACACATGTCTTGATAACTGACAGCCTCTCATAGGGTCTTACCCCTTCTGCCTGACAATGCCATCCATTGATGCTACCACTAACCATGCGAGTTTCTGCAATATGCCAAGCTGGCTGGACAGCAACTCTGTTTCTCTGGCGGCTTGGCTTGCCAGCAACAAACACCATTCAGCAAACTCACAGACTCACAGCTGTAATTGTGGTGGCACAGATGCGCCACCAGCTCCTCAACGCTTGACTTGCCACTTCAGCCTCCGGCCCCGAGGTTTGAATGGAAGCGGCGCTGGGTCTCCACGTGGCCGCTGACAGTCTGGCAAATGCGTTCGACGACCGGATGTCTTTAAGCCAATTTCACCTCTGACTCAACGCAACTTGATCCACAATGAATACAAACCCACATGGCTGTGGGTCAATAGGTACCCATTTTGGATCCCTGGCAAAGAAACCATCCCACTAGGCCGGCCCATCCGGCCACTATTTTGCAATGGCTGGCTGAGCTTCCGGCTATTCTTGCAAGCGTGCGCGCCTGGAACGGCGACTGATCTACTGGCGTGCATTGAAGCAAGGGTGCTCCAGGCCAAATAGTAGAAGCTCCCCCCTTATTGTTGGTTTGCATTGTTGGTGTCGTGGTTACGGAGGGGTTTCCCATTTACCTCCACAATTCAGAGGTTCAAATCCCCAAAACACCAATGCAAACTCAACCGTTCTTTCTGCCGCGTTGCTCTTGGGCTGCCTTCCGGCTTTTGCCGGGCGCTGTCACTTTGGCAGCTCCGTGGGGCGTGAGCCATTCAAACAAACTCGATCAAGGCAGATCAAGGCGTTAGCCTGGGGGCAGCAAACCACAAACCGAGACCTATGGCAAAGAGTGCAATCAGCAGAGCCATAACATGCAACCTGTAGCGTTCAGAGGCTGGCTTTGCAGCTGGCAGCCTCAAATGCGAAAGCTCTTGCAGGCACATCATCAAAAGCTGAACAATAGGTTCATCCCAAGATGTCCACTTGTTTGCCCTGCAAGTACCAAACTGCTGCGTACAGCTAAAACAAAAAGCTAAGCGTCATCTCCGCTGCATGCGCATCGGCTTCAACCTCCTTACCCACAGCAGCATCATTCTTGCTTTCCTGCGGGCTCCATGCCACAGAACGAAGTATGGCAAAGTTGCAACGAAACGAAAGCACAATCGGATCAAACCGCAATTGTAGTTATACATCTCGGTCCTTCTCGGATTTCATTTTTGCTTGGAACTCTTCCCATCGCCTTGAAATGAACATTCGCAACTTCATGCATATCTGCCTTTTCCCTTCTTCACCGCTTTCGCATCAGCCCGCGAGAAGCTCAAAAGAACTGATTCTCAAGCGACCAGTGGCCTTGCCCCTGTTCCATTCACAAATGCTGGCCAGCAAAACAAGGGCATCTCTCACATCTTTTGAAAATTGCTTTCATCAAGTGCAGCGAGGCACTTTTTGTTCTGCTGATTGATCTTGCCAGCTTCGGATAGCATCAATGAAAGCGTCAAGCGCTTCCCCCTCAATCGCGTATGCAGCAGTTTGCTTGTAGACAGCAATCAAAGCGTCGCTTGTTTGTCAATGCAAGGAAGTCCTCCGCGTGGTTTACGTCATGATTGCTTAACACCCTGCCCCCATGGCCAGAACGGTGCCGGGCGTTGATGCAACGCCATCCGCAAAAGATGCTTACACGAGCTCAATCGTCCTCACCGAGCCAATCGTCCTCACCATGAACCAAAATGTGACGCTCTCAATCCGGCTTGGCTTGCTATGGGTACTAAAGAGTGGAACATGCAGGGTGGGGGCTGAAAGGAGGTCATAGGGTCATAGTCAAACCTGATCCATAAAATCAATGTCAAACAACGAATCAAAACAAAGACAGAACATGATCACCAAGCCCGAATGACCTAAAAAAAAATGCGTGCGCCCACTAATCAAAGATGCCATCGCGAGTGCTGCCGCGGCACTGCGAGAGCCGCCAGGAGGAGGCCTCTGGGTCAATGACTCCGCAGTCAACAGGGCCCAAAACCAGAGGTGGCCTTGGCATTCACAATGGGCGTGTCAGTTTTCTTTCTTTCTTTCTTTCTTTCTTTCTTTCTTTCTTTCTTTCTTTCTTTCTTTCTTTCTCACTCTCTGCCGTTGCATCCAAAAGGTCCCACTTCGTGCGGCCATATTGACGAGGTACCCTGTTTTCGGTGGTTTGTAAGGGAAATCAGAAGGAAACCCCCAAATTTTGGGGGGTCTCCTAAAAGGAGACACACCCAAATTCTTGTTCCAGCAGCCAGCGAATACAATGAACAAGTCTCTTTCACGGCAACTTCCCGTGGCAGCACTGGCGAGGCAATCCCTCAGTGCTGCATTCAAGCGCTTGCCGGTGGCCATTCTGCGTCTGAGGTTGACATATTTGCGACACAAGTTATATGGCCATGTGCAAAATGCCGTACCCCCAGTGAACATCCCAATCCCCACTGAAATAGACTACAATGGGTGGTGCACCTACCCCAAAATGGTACCATTGGTTTTGACCCACAGCCACATTGACACAAGTGATCCCACCCAAAAGAGAGCACATCCAACATCCAATTCAGCTCCCTACGCTCGCCCAGTTGTGCCAATCAATGCGGTGACAAAACAACCCGTTCCGTTTTGGCAAGTCATGTCTGCAACTGGTTTGCATCTTTTGCCTGCGCTGCAGTTTCGATTCCTTCGCCTTTGCTGAAAACAAAGCAGGTAATGAAGGCTGCCAAAAAGCGTGGATCGGACCCGGACGGCGTAGGTGCTCATGCTGAACCTAGTGGCCAAAATGATGCACTGACAAGCGGTAAGCATCTGTAAACGCCGAAAAGACAGCCTGCAGTCTAAAGCAATAGGCTGCTCGATCTGCTGCCCTGAAACATGTGCTAAATCTGTGCGAGTTGCGACACGTCAATGCTTTCCCTTGGCGCATTTGCCACCTCCGGGTCATCAATGTAGACCTCATGATGAGTCATTGCCTCTAATAGCTGGCAACTGCGGCCTGTCAGAGTGCAAATCCCACAATTTGCAGCCATGCGTCCTTCGCAATGCCCCGGTCATCGGGCTCTGCAGTCATGTACCGGGTGATTCCTATGCAAAAGTGTCGCGAGGAGTCGACCGAGGCAGCCAAACTTTGCACGGCTGGCTAGAACTGGCGTGGTAAGTCATTGAATTCGAAATAGAACACTTGCCTCTCCACCCTGGATTGGATCTGAATGCTGACAAGTCAACTTGTTACACCAGCTCCCTCCAGATTTCTGGCCAACAAAAATGACATGCCGCCGATGTGTCAGCCACGGAACTTCCGCCGAGCTTCGTCTCTCAGCCTTGCCGGAGGACACGGCGCTGGCCGTGGCCAAAGGCGTGGGAGTGGCCTCTCCGCCGCGGATCGATTTGAGGCGCTTGATCGAAGCAAAAGCCCGAAGGGGCGGGGGAGGGGGAGGTGTTTTTTTTGAGGTACCCCTTCTTGGTTGGTTTCACAGGGAAACCAAAAGGAAGACTGAAAACCTCTTCCTTTTTGTTGGTGTTTTTTTCTCCAGCCTCTTGTGCGTCTGCTATCCACTCTCTCCTCAGCAGTTGGCTCCAGGCAGCGAGGCAATGTCGACTTCAGCATGTAGCCGTTTCATGTTGTTTCTGCGTGTCAACTGCAAAGGCCCGCCAGAGCTGCAAGCAAGCGTCTTGGGTATCTTGTAAGAGAGATCTCCAGCTTCTTGGAGGAGTTGCTGGCTTTCCCACAAGTCCTTTTCCAACAGGAATTCTCCAAGCTCTACAGTTCTACCTGAACCTCCATGCTACTTGGGCACCAAGGCCCTAATCAACATC